CACGGCTCCGGCCCCCCTGCAGCCGACCCCAGGAGCCCCCTAACAGCCCCCCGCAGAGCCCCATGAGGGCCCCAGACCGAGGCAGGCGGCCCCGAGCGAGCCCCAGGATAGGCCACTGGAGCCTCACGGGCCCCCCGAGCCAGCCCCTGCACCGTCCCCGGCGGGCTCCCGCACGGCCTCGGCCCCCATCACAGCCGACCGCAGGAGCCACACGGAGACCCCACGAGCGGCCGAGGACTGCCCCGCAGAGCCTCCGGACAGAACCGACGAGGATGCCAACTTTGTCCGGCCGCGCCCGCGGCTCCCGATGGGGCCTCGCCGAAACTGCCCTGGCAGCGTCTGCGGCCCCCCCATGGGGCCTCGCCGAAGCCACGCCGGCGGCGCCTGCGGCCCCCGATGGGGGCCCCGGACGGAGGCTCCGCCCTCCCGGCAAAAACCAACCAGAAGGTTCGATTTGTCCGGCCGCGCCTGCGGCCCCCGATGGGGCCTCGCCGAGGCTACACCGGCGGCGTCAGCGGCGCCCGATGGAGCCCCGCGGAGGCCCCTCCAGCGTTCCATGATAGCCCCGCAGAGCCTCCGGACAATCACGAACATGGATCCCCACGACGGCGCCGACGACAACGACGACGACGACGACGACGCGACGACGGCAACGACGACGACGCTTCGCATACTCAACAAGACGTTCTCTCACGCGCTGGCTGGATAACTCGACGTTCCGCCGTTATTGTCCTTTTGGGTTTCCTCGCGACGCGTATTCTCATGTTATAACTCGGAACGCGCTTAGACGAGCAACGACTTTCAAAGATAATGTGTTGCGTCTTAGTTCTTATAATTGCTTTACATGTCTTAAGTGGTGGGCCCAGAAACCAGCTACTTTAGAGTACCTACCTTTACCAGATGGCAGGAATTGCTTGTGCACGATGGTGTTAGGACCACCAGAGACCCGGAAGCCCCTAAACAAGCCCCAGACCCCACACCAGGCCTTATAGATCACTCCGACCTGCCCCAGACCCACTCAAGAATCTTCGGATCGTGGGCCCCCTCCAGACCTGGATCAGGAAGCCCTCAGACCATCACCCCTGTTGTAGCATCCGTCGGGTGCCCCCCGGAGGGCCGTACGGAGCCCCTGTTGGCCCTTGCTTGGGCCTTTTCGGGCTAATCACACTAGGAGCCTTTTATGTTCTTCTGAGGCTGGCGCCCAAAAGCCGCAAGAGGCCTTCAAGACGCTCCAGACAGGCTCGCAGGAGGGCCCAACATGCTCCCGACACGGCCCCAGGGACGCCCGAGCTGTTCAACTTCGACGAGCTGTTCACCCACGGCGTGCGAACCCCAGTCTCAGCACACCGTGGATGTAATCCACGGGTTCACGCTAGTCAGCTACAGCGCTGGGATCAGCACGTGCGGGAAGGGCGGGCAGTGGCAGCGGGCTTTGGCGCTGCTGAGCGCGATGCGGACGTCGAAGTTGGAGCCCAGCGTCGACTCTTCTACGATACTGGGAACAGCGCGTGGTGCTCGGCTATCGTGGCAAAGCCGGGGGGGGGGTCGCCAGGGGCCCGCCAGGAGAGCCTGCGCCTCCCAGACGGTCCATGCGAATCCAACAGGCTTCCAAGTTCGCCGAAGATGCCTCCAATATGGCGTCCAGACGGCCTCAGAGTGCCCCAAGATAGCCCAAGACGGCCTCCAGACAGCCGCAAAACCTTCCAAAAGGCTCCCAGAGCGCTCAAAGAGTACACTCAGCAGGAGCAGGACCTCCCGGTGCAACAATACATGATGGTCTGCAGGGCTTTCCAACATTTTCAACATTCGTACACGACTTTGGGGCCCTTGCAGCGCCCACGACGGCCCAACAGCCCCCAAGATCGCCCCAAGCCGGCCCAAGAGGCTTCCAAATATTATCCCAAGGCGGCTCGAGAGAGCCCCTAGACGGCCCAAGACGGCCCAAGAGAGCCCTATGACAGCCCAAGAGGCGCCCAAGACGACCCAAGATGGCCTCGAAGAGCCCCCCAAACGGATGCTACAACGCACCTCCCTGTTGTACCATCCCTCGTGTGCTCTCTGAGGGCCTACTTGGGGCCGTCTTCGCGGCCTCTGGAGCCCCTGTTAAGACAATGCTCGAGGTCTTCCGGGTGCTCTCAGAACCTCTTGCAAGGCGGCAAGACGGCCCAAAAGAGATGCAGGACAGCTCAGGGAAAGCCCTAAGATGCCCAAGAGGTGCCCAAAACGACCCAAGATGGCCCCGAGATGGCCCATGAGAGCCCCAGATGCCTCCCAAGATGGCCCAGGAAAGCTCTCAGAGAACTCGAAGCGGCTTTCCAACGGATGCTACAACGCGACAGGCTCCTCGGCTACATCACCTACGACATCTGTCAGCCAATAGGCTGTCCCTGCCTGTCGGCCCCGCCGCGTCCCCCTGCCGGGGTACCTGCGGATTTGCTCCACGGGTACACACTCGTCTCTCCTACTATATCGGGAGCGGTGCGTGCGAGAAGGGCTTCTGCACCGAGTGGCTCACGGCAGCTCCGAGCCGCTGAAGAGGGCGCCCCGGAGGCTCCACGACGGCTCCGAGACGCTCCAGAGGCCGCCCCGACGGCCCAAAGACGGCTCCGAACCGCTGAAGAGGGCGCCCCGACGGCCCCAAGATGGCTCCGAGCCGCTCCAGAGGCCACCCCGACGGCCCCAGGGGCACTCCAAGCCGCTCAAGAGGCCGCTCTGACGACCCAAAGGCCCCCAAGGGCAGGCCAGGAGCTTTCGAAGACAGCCCTCGAGGATTTCCCAGGACAGCCCCGAGACGCAAAGATCGCCCCATTCCCTCGGCGAAACTGACATTTGTGGTACCCTCGTGCTTTTCGTCTCCGACACGTCAACGACGGCCATTGAGCCCCCCAAAATCGCCCCAAGATGCCCCCACGGGCCCAGGACGGCCCAAGAGGCCCCCAATACGGCCCAAGCGGCATCCAGGCAGCCCCAAAGCCGCCCCCAGACGGCCCAGAGACGGCCCAATAAGCGCCCAAGACGGCCCTAAGACGGCCCCAAGACGGCCCAGAAAGCACCCAAGACAGCCCCAAGAGCCGCCCAAGACGGTCCAAGACCGCTCCGAGACGGCCCAAACGGCACCGACGAGAGCACAAGAGGGCTCCAAGAGGCCCCCTCGAACCTAAAAGAAGCCCCAAGAGGCCCGCAAGAGGGCAAGAGGCCCTCAGTGGCTGCAGAATTCCCTCCAACAGAGGGGGGCGGACGAGAGGTGAGAGGCAGAACGCAGGCCCCACACAGCCGTTTTCGATGCTTCGAGGGTCTACGATTGACGATCCAAGATCGAGGACATGCAGAATCGATGCAAAAAGTTAGAGGGTGATGAGGAGGAGGAGGAGGAAGAGGAGGAGGAAGAGGAGGAGGAGGAGGAGAAAGATGATGATGATGATGATGATGATGATGATGATGATGATGATGATGATGATGATGATGATGATGATGATGATGATGATGATGATGATCATGATGATCATGATGATCATGATGATCATGATGATCATGATGATCATGATGATCATGATGATCATGATGATCATGATGATCATGACGATCATGATGATGATGATGATGATGATGATGATGATGATGATGATGATGATGATGATGATGATGATGATGATGATGATGATGATGATGATGATGATGATGATGATGATGATGGTGATGGTGATGGTGATGGTGATGGTGATGGTGATGGTGATGGTGATGGTGATGGTGAGGGTGAGGGTGAGGGTGAGGTGAGGGTGAGGAGGGAGGAGGAGGAGGAGGAGGAGGGGAGGAGGGAGGAGGAGGAGGAGGGAGGAGGAGGAGGAGGAGGAGGAGGAGGAGGAGGAGGAGGAGGAGGAGGGAGGAGGGAGGAGGAGAGGAGAATAAGGAGGAGGAGGAGGAGGAGGAGGAGGAGGAGGAGGAGGGGCAGAGGAGGTGAAGGAGGAGGAGAAGGAGGAGGAGAAAACCCGAGAAGGCCCAGAAGAGAGCCTCATGAGGGTCCAGATGACGCACGGAGCTTTGAACGTGGCCCCAAGAGAGCCCGAGAGGAGCCCAGACGGCTCAAGAGGGTCCAAAAGGTTCCGAAGAGGCCCGCACGAGGACCTGAGAGGCCCCCTCAACCCTCCAACAGGCCCAGAGAGGCTTCAAACTGCCTCCAAGAGAAGGGGCCCGGCGCTCCTGAGCTTCGCCTTCAACAGAACTCCAAAGAAAGGCCTCCCCAACGTAGCGGAGCACGTCGAACTTATCAGTTGTTGTTAACACGTAGCTAAATATCAAAATCATGCCCTCCTTGAGCTCTCTTGGGTCTTCCCTGGAGATCCTCTCGAGTCTCCCCACCGCTCCGGGTGGCGCTACCCCAGTGCCTCCCGAGCACTTCCCCAGGTGCTCCTGAGACGCCTCAGATGGGCTACTATTTTGACGCACATCCCGGAGAGACCTCAAAACTGCCCGATAGAGGGGGTGGGCTCCAAGCACCTTTCTGCAAACCTCTTGACCGCCCAATCAGGAAACTTGGAGGCGCCCCAGAGGGACTCCAAGCTAACAACAATCTAACAAGGCAGCACGTCCGACCCAACAGCGGTCTCTTAAGATCTTATTGACTTTCACGCCCCCTTGAAGATCTTTTGGACCCTCCCCGGAGATCCTTGCGAGCCTCCCCGGCGCTCCTGGTGGCTTCTCCCGAGTGTTTCCCGGGCCCTTCCCCGGGCACTCCTGAGACGCCTTAGATGGGCTTCACCTATGACGCACGTCACCGAGAGACTTTAAAACTGCCGCCCATAGGAGGGGGGCGAACGAGCCGTGCGCTGGGGCCAAGCTGCTGGAGCGCTGCAAGAGCTCGGACGCGAAGGCGCGGTCTCGCTGCCGCCGCCCCGGCCGCCGCCGTGTTAGGCTTTCAGCAAACCCTCCGCCGTGCCTCTGAGAACCAGAACCATTCCAGACAGATCTCGTGGACGGAGTCCACGGGTCAGCCCTGGTCTGCTACAACGCTGGGACTAGCGCGTGCGAGAAGGGCGAGCAGTGGCAGCGGGCTCTGGCGCTGCTCAGCGAGATGTGGAAAGCGAAGCTGAAGCCCGACGTCATCTCCCCGGCAATAGTAGGAGCGGCGCGTGGTGCTCCTGCTACCGTGCAAAGCCCGGGGGAGGGGGGGGGGGGGCGCCAGGGGCCCGCCGGGAGGGCCTGCGCCTGCCAGACGGCCCGTGCGAACCCGGCAGGCTTCCAAGTTCGCCGACGGTGCCTCCAAAACGGCCGAGAATGGGATAATTAGCTCAGGAGCGGAAGAATGACGTACACGTACATGAATCCACGCTGGTTTCGAGAGTACGCATGACCCGAATGTTCGTATCACGCGGCCAGTCTCGCAAATCAAGAGGCCGTGTTCATGTACATGGCTGGGCGCATACGTCCTTTGTGGGCTCGCTGACAGCCCAAGACGGCCTCCAGACGGCCGTGAGAGCTTCCAAACGGTTCCCAGAGCGCCCCAGGAGTAATCTCAACAGGGCCTCCCAGTGCAAACGAATGCCGTGTTCTGCCGGACTTTCCAACTTTTTTAGCATACACGACTTTTGGGCCCGTGCAGCGTCCACGACGGCACAACAGCCCAAAAGATCGCCCCAAGCTGGCCCAAGGGGCCTCCAAAGAGGATCCCAAGGCGGCTCGAGAGAGCCCCTAGACGTCTCAAGACGGCCCAAGAGAGCCCCAAGGCTGCCTAAGAGGCGCCCAAGACGACCCAACGGCCCAGAGATGGCCCACTGGAGCCCCAGGTGCACCCCAAGACGGCCCCATGAGCGCTTCCAGAGAGATCGAAGAGGCCCCCGAACGGATGCTACAATGAAGCCCCATGTTGTAGTAGCATCCGTCGTGTGCTTTCTGAGGGCTCTCCTCTGGAGCCCCTCTTGGGGCACTATTCGAGGTGCCCCAGGTGCTCCCAGAACCTCCTGCAAGTCTGCACTGCAAGACAGCTCAGGTAAAGCCCCAAGACGGCCCAAGAGGCGCCCAAGACGACACGACATGGCCCAGAGATGGCCCCGCCGCGATCCCTTGCCAGGGCACCTGCGGACTTTCTCCGCGCGTACGCACTAGTTATTAAGCTACAGTGCTGGGATCAGCGCGTGCGAAAAAGGACAGCAGTGGCGGCAAGCTCTGTCGCTGCTCAGCAGGATGCAGAAGGATACGGTAGAGCCCAACATCGTCAGCTATAGCGCAGGAGCCAGCGCGTGCGAGAAGGGCGGGCAGTGGCAGCAGGCCCTGTCACTGCTCAGCAGGATACGGGAGGCGAAGCTGGAGCCCGACGTCATCAGCTACAGCGCTGGGGTCAGCGCGTGCGAGAAAGGCGGGCAGTGGCAGCAGGCTATGTGGTTGATTAGCGCGATGTTTGAGGCGAACTTGGAGCCCGACTTGATCTACCATACAACGCTGGTGGAACCGCATGCCAGAAGGTCTTGGAGGCCGCTTGGGCCGTCTTGGGGCCCTCTTGGGCCGTCTGGTGGCCCTCTCGGGGGCCTCGTGGGCCGTCTTGGGGCCATCTTGGAGGCCTTTGGAGCCGTCTCGCAGCGTCGGGATTCCGAAAAGCCGAGAACACTGAAACCCTTCAAAAACCAATGGGAAATCAATCATTTTTGCCTCTTGGGGCCCGGTCCGTCTTGCGGCCCTGTGGGGCCGTCTGAACGCCATATTGGCGACCTCTTGGACCGTCTGGATGTGTCTCGGGCCATCTTTGACCGTCTTGGGGCCCTCTTGGGCTGTCTTGGGGCCCGCTGGGGGTGGCCTGGAGCGCGCCGGGGCTGGCCAGGGCCGGCTTTGAGCCCTTTGAAACATAAGACAACCCCCAAAATCTGCTCCAAGAAGCTTCGGAGGGACGATTCCTTAGAGAGCTCTGGGACCGCGCTGGCCACCCAGGAAAATAAGGCGCCCATGCGCCCTTTAGTTGCCCCCCTTCTTCGGACAGGCTCCAGTCTGAATGGGCGACTCGTCGGGGAGTTCTCCTTGAAGGTGGTCCAGACAGGCCGGCCATTGGGGTCATGCTCCGCAGTGCCTTCGAACTTCTCCGGGGCCCAGGCAGCCCAGGCGCATCCTCTGACAGCAGGTAGCTAGCGGTCAGCAGCACGCACCAAGCAGACGTGGCCATCAACAGCATCCTGCAGCCACAAGCAGCAACGACGCGCAGCAGCGGCACGCATTACCAGCAATAGGCAACAGCGGCAGCAAGCAGCAGCACGCAGTAGCATGTGCCGAATGCGAGGGTCGAGCCCCACGGTGTAATTTCAGCCTTGGGGCAGCACGTCCATAATGGCGTGCCAGTTCGTGAAGATTTCGTAGACGGAGTCCACGGGTCAGACCTAGTCTACCCTACAATACGGGGAGTAGCGCGTGGCTCGTTGCTAGTCGTGGCAGTGCCCGCGGGGGCCTGCCGGGAGGGCCCGCCGCGAGCCCAAGAAGCGAGTCCAAGAGGACTCCCAGTTCGCCGAAGATGGCTCCGACACGGCCGAGGGCGCGTCCAGACGGCCTCAGAGAGCCCAAGACAACCCGAGACGGCCTCCAGACGGCCGCAATGCTTTCCAAGAGGCTCCCAGAGCGCTCCAAGAGTACGCCCAGCAGGGCCTTCCGGTGCCAACATATCTTGTGTTTTTCTGGAGGCGTGGCGGCGGACCCCGCGACCCCAGCCGGCGCGACGCCACTTTCCTCCGCTGTTTCATCCGCCATGCCCCGTCATCCTTGTGCTCCCAATGCCAGGAGACAGCACCATCACGTTCCCCCTGGACCGGCCATGCGCGGTCCACCCCGACAGCGCGTGGCCGCCGTCAGCCTTCGGCCACAGGTTCGAAGCCATGCCCCGTCCTCCCTGTGCTCGCAATCGCAGGAGGCAGCACCATCACGCTGCCCCGAATCAGACTGGCCATGCACTGTCCACCCCGACGGCGCGTGGCACCCGTAAGCCTTCGGCCCCCGTTTTGACACGGGCAATGGCACCAGTTGGGTGCCCCGAGACCGGCCCAGCGCTGCCCGCCCCGACGGCGCTGGGCCTCCGCAGCCGCGGCCAGGGCCGCCCGCTGCCGGCTGCGGTGCTGGCGCTGGGCCGCGGGCTCCGTCGCCCCGCCCGCGGGATCCTCCCCACCGGCGGGGCGCCCCCCGCCCCATCCGCCCCCCTCCCCCCCCGCTCGCTGTCCCTCCCCCCGCGCGCCGCCACTGCGCCAGGGCCGCCGCCTTCCTCGGCCACCACGCCCTCGGGATAGCCTTGGCCTGGTCTTGCCGCCCGCTCCCCCTCGCGGACCTCGCCTCTTGCCAGGTGCGCTCCGCCCGCATGCACTTCTGCCCTGCCGCGCTTCCTGCTGCGCCTCCCACCCCTCGGCGGCGCGCGGCCTTGCCGGGCCCGGCACCTCGTGCTCGACGTCGGCAGCGTGCTGCCTCGTCTGCCGTCCGCACCAGCACCGGGCCCTGCCGTCGCGGGCACACCCGGCGCCGCAGCCCGGCAGCTGCTGCTGCTCCCGCCGCGGGGCGGGCCGCGCCAGCTCACACAGGGACGTGAGACCCGTCCGTCCCGAGTGGCCCTCGCCTCGCCCCCCCGCCCCACTTCTGCGGCCTCCCGTCCTGTCCCGCTCCCGCTCCTGCAGCCGCGCGCGGGCCGATTCGCTGCAGCGGTGCCCCCGTCCAGCTCGCTCCGCCAGCGCAGGCGACCCCTGCCCAGCCGCCGACGAAAAGAGTTGTCTGGAGGGCCTCCCAAAATTTCGGGTGTACCCGATTTGGGGAGCATTGCAAAGTCCACGACGGCCCAACGGCTCTGAAGATCGCCCCAGGTCTGGCCAAGAGGCCTCCGAAAAGTATCCCAACGCGGCTCCAGAGAACCCCTAGACGGCCTGAAACGGAAGGCCCCTCACGTTCTCGCGCGCTCGGGCTTCCGACGCTTCAAGGCGGCCCGAGAGGCCCCCAACATCGCTTCAACGCGGACGGCTCACCAGGCCCCCAAGAGGGCCCCAGACAGCCTAAGAGGGCCGCATGACGGCCGAGGAGGCCCCCCAAACGGCCCACGAGAACTCCAAGAGGAACCCGAGAGGGGCCTGGGAGGGGGAGCTCGAACTGACATGTTACACCCTTCGCCCCAAGAAGATGACCCCCGAGACAGCCAGCGGGCCCCCCAAAGACCCAGGAGTGCCAACAGGCCAAAATCAGGCCCCAAGAGGCCCCGAGAGGCCACAAGACACCCCCAACACCGCCTCCAAAAGGCTTCCGAAGGGAAGATCCCTTGAGAGCTTTGGCACCGCGCCGGCCACCCAAGAAAACTTCATGAGCGACCCAAGGGGAGATCAAATGTTCGGCCACACGCGCGCCGAGGCCATTGAGACATTCGTGTGCTGGCCTCTTTCCTCGCTCCTCGCCGCCCTCTCCTCGATGCTTGCCTTTCTCTCTCTCTCTCTCTCTCTCTTCGCTCTTTGCCCCTCTCTTCTCACTTTCCCTCGCTCCTCCCACTTCTCTCCTGCCCCCACTCCTCTTTCTCTCTTTCTTTCTCTCTCTGTCTCTCGCTCTCTCTCTCTCTCTCTCTATATATATATATATATATATATATATCTCTGTCCCTTTCTCTCTTTCTCACTCTCTCTCTATCCCTCTCTCCGCGGCGTCAGGACAAAACGAGAAACCGCGCACCTCGCACCGCCACGTAGTACCGAACGTAACTGACAACACGCCCTTCACCACCCGCCCACATGCCTCGCCGTTGTCCGATCCTGCTTCCCGAAAGCCTTCGGACGCCTCATGCGACGAGCCACCCCTGGACACAACGAGTAAACGGCGAACACGGGTCTAAGCTTGGCGTACGCCGCAGCGCCTCTTCCTGTGCCATTCAGAACCAAGCACCCCCACATCAACGCCCGAAACACCAAACCCAACGCGTGGGATTGCACGTCGCATGTTGCGTCGCACCGCAAGCAAACGCGCCAACATCTCCACAACACTGCACCGAGACTCGAGCATCCATCCACGCACCCACAGTGAACGCACAGCAAGCATGCTCGGCATGCTCGGCATGCTCACCCTCAGTTTCCTGCACCCCGCATCAAGCGCAGTACGGCGACCACACGCCGAAGCGGTCGCCTAGAAATTCTGGCCTCTTCTCTGCCCCGCCCGTGCACTACCCCTTTCCGAGGCGGTGGCCGACATCCCACATGATCTTGGCTGCCACCGAGCAGAAGAGCAAGCGACGAAGCAAACAAGCAGGAAAGCAGGCAGACCCGCAGTCATGCGATTGGGAACGCTGGCAGCATGCAAACAGGAATGCTTGGTATAGAGTTGCTTGCACAGCAGGCTAGCAGCCATGCGCGCAGGGCAGCGCGCAAGCATGACAGCGGGCAAGCGATTTCCAGTGACAGCAGGCTCTGTCACTGGTTATCGAGATGAGCTATCCGAAGGTGGTCCCCAATGTCATCACC